TTAAACTTTAAGCACAGTGATTACTAAAATCTACAATGATTACTAACCAACATGCATGTTGTCAGAAGAAATGAATGAATTAAAGGCGTATAATAGGAGTGTACAATAGCAAATTAAGTCCTATTGTACAAGCTAGATAAAAGCAAGACCACCCAACATTGTTCACCCTGTTGCCCACCCACTTTAACAATGGTATATTCCAATTGGGTGGTTTATGTCCTGGGTGGTTTATGTCCGTATACCAATTTGGAATCTGAATGTTATTTTGTTATGCTGTTTACTTTTATACATATTTGATAATTCTTTTCTGCATTCCAGAATCGAATGAGAGATATTTATTAAACTTCATATCGAACTCAACCGTGGTGTTTGTACATTGTGCTAACCTGTGTGTGTTATCCCAACCTTTCTATACACTTTACATGTAATCTAGTGTTGTATAGAAGTATCTACTGTATTTCAAAATCCGGTCTAGTTTCAAATTCTGACGATAAAGCCGTTTCAATGTTGTTTTTTTTTTTTTACATAGTGCGTTAACTAGTTCTATTACGCACATACACAAAATAGTTGTTTCTAATCGGATTCAAATTTTTACAAGCCTCTATACTAGTTGGTTCAGGTGGTTAATGTGTTTGCATATAAAGTAGGAAGACATCAACGTCCACCTGCTTTATACATTTTACAGTATAAGTGTATCTACCAACCTTTATTCATAGCCGAGGATTGATGAGCCGTATCCGTAACTGAGGATTTATGTACAATACCTGTAATTATATAAATAATTATTTGTTTCACATTATAGTTATGTAAAAGTTTTGTTACAATTATTACACATACATTTAAAATCCTTGATAATAATTGTGTTGCAGACCAGTGTACTTAATACAGTTGCTGTAGTCAATTTTGTGAAGGACAATACAATGCAAAAAATAGCCCGAACCAATAAAATAAAATTTAATTTAATTATAAAATTAACTGAGAAAATTTTCTTTTTTGACAACAGACTAATCTGTAAAATGACAAAATAATTTGGAAACTATTTAATCTTGAATTCTCTAATTGTGTTTACAATCGTTTCTCAACCTAAATTGGTATTTACTCCATTCAAAATTATCTAATCATTTTATGAATTATTATTTCAATAGCCCAAACACATACCAGCTGCAAATAGCTTCTGTACATTAGCTGCCGGCATCGTTATAAGTTCACCAGTTTTGTCACAAGTCATATTCTCGTTCTTTAAGCAGTACTCAAGTTCTTGAAAGTGTGGTTCCTCAGTGTTTGAACAGACTAAGCAAAGGATTTTCAGAGCATAACCGACAACTCTCTTAGATGGATATACCTCACCTAGGTGTTGCTTTAAAACCTGCAAAACCTGTAAAATGTAATACAAATGTTTTACTTCAAATTCAATTATAATATAGGCCTAATTAGCCATTTGGTATCAAATCTAAATTAAGTAAAATCTCAGATCACCAATGATCAGTCAATGACATCATTACCTCCTTACAGACATCAGGATGCGGCTTGCAAGCAGACTTGTTTGTGCCGTCTGCGTCTCTCTCTTTCATCCGTGATATTTCAAGCTTTAAAATGAAAAAAAAAATTAATTACAAACAATATTCAAAACACTGAGTTGTATAGTGTATTTTTTTTGTTTAATCATGGAGTGGAGCTGTTGCTTAGCGGTTAAGATACTTGTTTTAAAAGAGGAATATCCATCAAAAACGTCAACGGTGACCCTATAATTAAAAAGTAAATAAACAGAATAATAATGAAAACATACCGGCCTACATATAGGCCTACGCATACGTTTCAAAAATAAAAGGCATACTTACCTTCAAAGAACGTTTATTATCAATTGATATTCGACCTAGTCTTAGGTAATGCTTATCATCGAATAGAATTTTAGACTGATTCTGAAACAACTTTGGGTCATCACAACAACCATTCTCTTGACTCAAACTCACAAATCTTACGACCAAGATATCGTAGACCGCGTCGGGAAGAAAGTCTTTAGGCGTCACATAGATGGATACTGTCTGCTTCTCATCTTCCTTAACTTCCAATCTATCATCATCTTTGGTCTTCATTCGAGATGGAACGACAAATACTCGAGGGCCATCCTCTGATGCTGCTTTCTTGATCTGTAAACGATGAAAAGAAAACAATCCTGAGGAGGGTGAATTAGTTTCCTCGCGACTTCTACAACCTCATTCTCTTTATTCCCTTTCCCAAAAATATATCAATTACAAAATTAAAATAAGAGGATTTTCAAATGGGATAAAAATTGAGAGCCTCAAATATACGGCCTACGACATTATATACAGTCGTTTATTAAGTGGGGATCGAAAGTAAAAAAGGAGGTACCAGTACCAATAGGCCACACCTTTTCAAAGAGAAGTCCAAATGCCTTCATAAGTTCAATGAAGTCTTTAAAAACGACGTCGTCATCATCTTCACTACTTTTAAGTTCATTTCTCCACAAATAGCGTGCTAACGGTTCTTCCAGAATTCCTCCTTCATTCAATTTACGCCAATATTTTACCATCGCTGAAGCCTACAAAAAGAATTAACAAACCTGTATAATATGAAATAAAATTCAAATCCAATGTGAGTAAAAATCGGTTTACCCATGATGAACGCATATTTTTAATGACTCATTATATATATATATACTGTCTCTTATACACATCTAGATGTGTATAAGAGACAGAATAAATACAGTGTGTAATAAAATGCCTTCTACGGGATTCGAACCTGCGTCCTCTCGCTCTCAAATCGATCGTCATACCCATTTAACCACAAATGCTTTATTGCTGTACAGATTCAAATAACCGTCAGGTACGTTATATTACACACAAAAACGTGCACACGATCCAAATTGTGTACACTGGGCCTACGGTTTATATAGTCCTTAAGAATTGTTCCAAACCGAACCATAGGCGAGCGTGCCTTTTGAACCAGCGCCAATATTGTGGCTATACGGTGGCTCCGCCTATTCAACTCGCCTATAATAATGTACATAATATATCCGTCTATTACCTTTTTCATATCTTCAAACTTCAAGAACAGCACATTGTCTTCATGTCGGCGATTCCAAAATGGTAGCAAGTGCGTTGCCCATGAAATCAGGCAAGTTAGAAGCAAATATTATTGGTCCGGCCAACGAGAAAATACTTTCAAAATATCACTTACGTGTGTAGTTGCGTGTGTGTATGTGTGTGGGGGTGGGTGTATGTGTGTGTGTGTGTGCATGCTGAGTCAGGCCATACTGTAATATTTGTTTTAAAAAAAAAACTACATTGTGTTAAAATTACAATTTGGGCACACAAACAATATTAATTTGTGAATTTTTAGGCCGAAAACTCGAGTAGCATATACGGCCTTCCGAAGCAGCTGAACCGCTTCCTACGGCCTTGGAAGAAATTAATTTATTAAGAGTTTCTTATATTGTAATACTATTGCGTACAATACCTTATCTAAGGACATGCGCAAAGTTGTTTTCCCGGCTTCTTGTACCTCAATTTGGAAGTCCATCCAATTTATTGGAACAGTTCTTTCCATTCCCTTCATGAAACCGCCTACGTTTATTTTCAATCTTTGAATCCCTTCATCCAGTGCTGTGGTGTTGTCTACGGCATACCTCTCACGATCCACGTGACGTTCGTATGGTGTTCCTTCGAGTTCCTTAAATATTCTGTCGAACATGTCATCAACCTTTGAATAGAAGAATTTATAGTAGGTGTAAATGAATATATCAATGAATTTTGAAACAAATAATATAGTAAACACTCACAGACCTACAATATATTACCTCTGTCTCCTTCTCAGCATCACTCCCCGTGAGTAGGTCCATGTGCGTCCCAATCAGACTAATCGTCGGAGATGCTATAATTCCATTGATCAAAGGTTTCTCCTCTGAGCCATGTAGCAGTACAGCATACTCATATATCAGCCTTATCCAAAATATGATCATTTGCAGATTTGTCATCTCAAAATGTCCCTGCATATAAACAATATCGTCAGCATAATTTTTAAAATAAAGTTATGGATAAATTGATATACAATTAATTACAGGCTGAAATTAATTATTTCAGGAATGGGTTTTTTCCACTCAATGCATATGATAATTTGTTTTACATTTTTCTTATTATTGATTAAACTAATTAAAGTTAAACAATTGAGTTCCTTAAATTTAATAGAATATTTAAATGGTTTACTTTTTTGGGATCTCTTCTTTTTGCCAGTTTATCCAAAGCATCTACCAAACTGAAAACAACTCCATAAGAATTTCCATCTGTAATAAAAATCTGGAAAGAAATAGGATATACAAACTGTGAGAAAGTATTCTATTTATAACAAAGAGAGGTAAACAGTGGCGTATCTAGGAATCTTGAAGTGGGGGAGCTGATTGGAAGCCCGAAAGTGAAGCGGGAAGGGGTGGGTGGGGGGACTCGATAATCAGTTGGGGGCGCTAACTCGCAAAATAAGATGACTTTAGAAGTTTTTTAACAACGCACAACTTGACCATGATTGCGTATCTAACACCTCCTACACGCCACTACTGCAGTAATTTCAGCAAAATAATATTTTTGTATTCAATGCAGTGCAATTGTTATACAACACACTGGTACTGGTACGTCCTTACAGTTATAAAGCGCAGTTCCTTTCCCTGATCATTGGGTCCACATGCTAAGTGTTGCTGCTGGTAATCAGCACAGGAACAGGCACCCCCACTAGGTACCCATTTATACTCCTGGTTGGAGGGAAGCAATGCAAATAAAGTGTCTTGCTCAAGGACACAAGCGAAATGCACAGCGAGGGATTGACACCCGTTCCCGCTGCGCCAAACTGTTTCTATAAACACAATATCATACAATCACATCCTTTCAGTACTGCGTGCATAATGATGATAGATTTTCGCAGTAATGCACAAATTAGTGATTGCGTAACTGTATAAGGATTTTTACCGAATGTGCATTAAAAAAAAATATATGGGCCTAGTCTATATACGCTTTACGATCCATAGTCATAACGCGCGTATAATCGTTCACTTTAAATCTTCGAACTGCTTGTTTATCCTTCATACATTTTTCTTTGATTTTAAAGCCTTTGCTTCCATAAAAATCCACAAGCAAACATGGAAGATTCAGAAATTCAACGTCTTATCGTTTTATAAAATCCAAACGCGAATCCGGTTGAGGAATAGAAGGAAGTGCTACTTACGCCCT